ACGCTTCGAACAAAACAGTTGTACAGTAATGTTTTTGTTTTTGGGTTGTGGAAGGATTTGGCATTGCGAATTACAAAGCCAAGCGCTTTTGAAGCCTTCTTGATAGCTGTATCAATATGAGGTATAAAAGTCAGTTTTTTGTCAAGAATAACGCCCAAATCTTTTATACTCTCACTTCTGTTCAAACAATAGCCATTCATACGATAAGCTTTATTTATACATTGCAGTTTTCTGGTAAAAGTAATTTGACTGCATTTATTGATGTTCAGTTTCATCTTGAAACTCCGTCGGGTTCCTGACGAAGAAGCCGCGCTGTATGAGGTGTACCGTGCGGCTAAGGAGGCTCTGCGGCTGGCCATCGGCGAGGCGAAGACGCGAGCTAGGGAGGAGATGTTGGAGACTCTAAACGGGGATCCGTGGGGGCGTCCATACCGCTCGGTCCGAGGGAAACTCGGCCCATGGGCGCCGCCAATTACGGAGAGTCTCCAACCCGAGCTGCTGGAGGACGTAGTCGCAGCCCTCTTCCCGGCTCAAGCGGAGCATACTCCGCCGCCGATGGCTTTGCCCACAGCCGCGGAGTCTGAAGAAGAGGACGCCAACGTCCCAGAGGTGACACAATCAGAGTTGGGGGCGGCCGTGATACGGCTCCGGGCGAAGAATACTGCCCCGGGGCCCGATGGCATTCACGGCTGCGTGTTGGCCCTGGCTCTGAAGGAGCTGGAGCCCCAATTGATAGGACTCTACTCAGCGTGCCTGGAGCGGGGCCAGTTTCCCTTTCAGTGGAAAACGGGTCGTCTGGTCCTGCTCAGAAAGGTGGGGCGCCCTGCGGACTCGCCGTCCGCGTACCGGCCCATAGTGCTGCTGGACGAGGTGGGAAAGCTGTTCGAGCGGATAGTTGCAGCCCGCCTCGTCCGCCACTTGTGTGAGGAGGGGCCGGACCTGGCCGAGTGCCAGTTCGGGTTTCGGCATGGGCGCTCGACTATTACGGCGATTTCGCGAGTGAGAGTCCTGGCGGAGGAAGCGGTGTCCCGCGGCGGGGTGATGTTGGCGGTGTCCTTGGACATCTCCAACGCCTTCAACACCCTGCCCTGGAGTTGTATTCGGGAGGCAATGCGCTACCATCAAGTGCCTCCCCACCTCCGCCGCATCGTTGGGGCGTATTTATCGGAGAGGTGTGTCACCTATCTGGGACGTGATGGCAAACATCAGCGCCTAATGTCGTGCGGTGTTTCGCAGGGGTCAGTCCTAGGCCCGCTCCTGTGGAACATCGGTTACGACTGGGTGCTGAGGGGCGAGCTCCAACCTAGGGTAGACCTGACGTGTTACGCTGACGACACGCTGGTCACTGCCCGGGGGAGCTCGTACAGGGAGGCAGCGTTGCTAGCGACGGCGGCGGTTTCACAAGTGGTGAGCCGCATACGGCGCCTTGGCCTGGAGGTGGCCCTCAACAAGTCGGAGGCCATAGCTTTTCATGGCCCCCGACGGGCGCCGCCGCCGGGATTGCACATGGTGGTTGGGGGGGCTCGAATCGCTGTCGAGTCCACCCTAAAATATCTAGGATTGGTGCTCGACAGCCGGTGGGATCCTGGCCCCCACTTCCGGCGGCTGGCGCCCAAGTTGTTGGGCGCGGCTGGGGCGCTGTCAACGCTGCTTCCCAATAGGTCGGACCCGAGAGCCGCCTGCAGGCGGCTGTACGAGGGGATCGTGCGATCGATGGCCCTATATGGGGCCCCTATCTGGGCGGCTGACCTGACGGCCGGCGCTATCACCGTTCTGCGGAAGCCGCAGAGGGTGATGGCCGTCAGAGTTGTTAGGGGTTATCGCACGATCTCCCACGAGGCGGCTTGCGTACTGGCCGGATCTCCGCCCTGGGACCTGGAGGCAAAAGTCCTCGCGTCACTGCATCGGTGGCGTGAGGACGCGCGGACTGGCGGAGGGACTGGCGCAGCGAGACATCGAGCTGCGTCGGTCACAGCTGCGCGAGGTCCTGGTGGTGGAATGGCGGGACAGGCTTTCACGCCCTTCCGCCGGCCTTGTCACTATCGAGGCCATCCGGCCAGTGCTCGACCTCTGGCTCGACAGAAGGCACGGCTCCCTGTCGTTTCGTGTGACGCAGGTCCTCTCTGGGCATGGCTGCTTCGGGAGGTTCCTGTGTCGCTTGGGCAGGGAGCCGGACGCTCGGTGTCACCACTGCGTCGACTGTCGGGAGGACACGGCGCGGCATACGCTGGCAGAGTGTGCCGCCTGGGAGGAGCCGCGCCGTGCCCTCATATCTGTAGTAGGCAGTGACCTCTCGCTGCCGGCCGTAGTTCGTTCTATGGTCGACAGCGAGGAGTCCTGGGACGCGGTGGCGTCCTTCTGCGAAACGGTTATCTCGCAGAAGGAGGCTGCGGAGAGGGAGAGGGAGATCCTGACCTCTCTCCCGATCCGCAGCAGGCGCACCGGGCGTCGGAGGAGGGCATATGCTGCCCTCCACCGGCCCCCCTAGCTGGGTCCAGGGGCGACGGACTTGGGGATGTTCGTCGCCCCATCTGGACCCGAGGTGGCGGCGCGTTGTGTTCCCGTGCGCCCCTCTGTGTAGTCGCGAGGGGAGTCAAACACCTCACTCCCCTCGCTGACGCGATGTGGCCCGCAGCGGCGGGCCGGCACCAGTCGGGGATTGCGGAAGTCACCTCAGTTCCCGCGATCCCCGGCGTAGGTGAGAGACGGAACACCGGGGGGTTTTAGTCAGTAGGAGTCTGACAGACCCCTCCGCCCTTTCCCCTGGGCGGAGGACATCCATGAGGATCTCCCCCCGTTAAAAAAAAAAAAAAATAAAAAATAAAAATAATGGTTGACTTCTCTAATGCATTCAACTCCGTCCGTCACGATATCCTTCTATCCATCCTGTCCTATCTTATGATTACGCCTGATACACTGGACTGGTTCTTATCTTCAGGGGCGTCAACAGTCTGTCCGCGTCGATGAATCCTCTTCAGGTTGGCGTGAACCCGACTGTAGCGTCCCTCAAGGGGGCATCCTCTCTCCTCTATTATTTTCAATATTTATCAACCTCATCACTCCAAACCTTCAATGTCTTCATATTGCACACCGTCCTTAAGCAACATTCCATTACCAAATATGAACCGACAACATCGTGTCACTTGCGCCGCAAAGACAAGGTTTGTACGAAACAAGTGTGTAAAACAAGTTTTGCCCAACGCTTTTTCTGTTATCAAAGTGCACATTTATATAACAAATTAAACAGCGTCTTAGAAATATACCCTTTTACAAAATTAAAATGCAAAGCAGTTGTTGTAAATTACTTAAAAAGTGTGAGTTATGATCTCACAGAAAAACTTCTTCTGTAAGTGAAGTAAACATGGTGATCTGTATTACAGGCATATCCATGCCTATCTCAGACACCAGCTAGTCACATGTTAACACAGAGATAAATGTTCTACGTAAATGTATACCTACCTACTAGTAACTACATAAGTGAAATCAATGACGGAAGTCAAATGTAATAAATCCAAAATTTTAAACATTGTGAGGAGAAATAAAGTTATTATTATTATTATTATTAATGTGCGTACCATCTTTACGCGGATGATTTGCAGCTCTATTATCAAGCCTCGATAGACAACATAGACGAAGCCATCTTCGAAGAGAGAAGGAAAACTTGACACAAACCCTATACCAACCCGTCTGGCCAGCGTGGTATAGTAGGCCAAAACCTCCTTTCTCCGGAGAGACTTATGTCCAGCAGTGGACTATTAAAGGCTGTTGATGATGTGATGATGACAATGTAATAGAATACTTATTCAATCTTTAAGAAGCACCGGGTGACTGTTTATAACGACACTGACAACGGCACCCCAAGTTTTCGTAACATATGTATTGAAGTAATTATTCAGATATTCGCGTGCAGTGCAAGTAAAAATACGTAATGTTAGTCAGTTCAGAACAACAACTGACGTTTCAACGCCAAGTATATTGCTCTTTCCGAAACACATGATAAACGAAGAACGAAAAAAATTATTTATTTTTATGTAATACAAAAAGTGCTTCCGGGTCATAACGAATATATACTTCAAAGACTGTATTAATAAGTTACGTTTAGTTTGTTGAAGCAAGTAAACGACGTCATCACGTCACAAATAAGCCAAATGAATTCCCTTTTGGGGTGATCCAGATAAGAAGGATCTTCCGCATCGTGAATACTGGTCGAAAGAAGTAAACGACGTCAGCACGTCACAAATGAGCCAAATGAATTCCCTTTTGGGGTGATACGAATAAGAAAGATCTTCCGCATCGTGAATGCTTGTTGAAGCAAGTAAACGACGTCATCACGTCACATATAAGCCAAATGAATTCCCTTTTGGGGTGATACGAATAAGAAAGATCTTCCGCATCGTGAATGCTTGTTGAAGCAAGTAAACGACGTCATCACGTCACATATAAGCCAAATGAATTCCCTTTTGGAGTGATCCAGATAAGAAGGATCTTCCGCATCGTGAATGCTTGTTGAAGCAAGTAAACGACGTCATCACGTCACAAATAAGCCAAATGAATTCCCTTTTGGAGTGATCCAGATAAGAAGGATCTTCCGCATCGTGAATGCTTGTTAAAGCAAGTCAACGACGTCATCACGTCACAAATAAGCCAAATGAATTCCCTTTTGGAGGTGATCCAGATAAGAAGGATCTTCCGCATCGTGAATGCTTGTTGAAGCAAGTCAACGACGTCATCACGTCACAAATAAGCCAAATGAATTCCCTTTTGGAGTGATCCAGATAAGAAGGATCTTTCACATCGTGAATGCTTGTTGAAGCAAGTAAACGACGTCATCACGTCACATATAAGCCAAATGAATTCCCTTTTGGAGTGATCCAGATAAGAAGGATCTTCCGCATCGTGAATGCTTGTTAAAGCAAGTAAACGACGTCATCACGTCACAAATAAGCCAAATGAAATCCCTTTTGGAGTGATCCAGATAAGAAGAATCTTCCGCATCGTGAATGCTTGTTAAAGCAAGTAAACGACGTCATCACGTCACAAATAAGCCAAATGAATTCCCTTTTGGAGGTGATCCAGATAAGAAGGATCTTCCGCATCGTGAATGCTTGTTGAAGCAAGTAAACGACGTCATCACGTCACAAATAAGCCAAATGAATTCCCTTTTGGAGGTGATCCAGATAAGAAGGATCTTCCGCATCGTGAATGCTTGTTGAAGCAAGTCAACGACGTCATCACGTCACAAATAAGCCAAATGAATTCCCTTTTGGAGGTGATCCAGATAAGAAGGATCTTTCACATCGTGAATGCTTGTTGAAGAAAGTAAACGACGTCATCACGTCACAAATAAGCCAAATGAATTCCCTTTTGGGGTGATCCAGATAAGAAGGATCTTCCACATCGTGAAAGCTTGTTGAAGCAAGTCAACGACGTCATCACGTCACAAGTAAGCCAAATTAATTGCCTGGTCTCTGGTCCCTCGTCATCCTACTTATTAAAAAATAGCCAAAAGTTAACGTATTATATAAAACTATACTTACAGTGAGTATGCAGATTTTTCCCTGTTAATCATCACAGTAAATAATTTCTGCACGTAGTAATATACCAATTACAAGTGCATTAATTTATAATTACTAATATTAGAAGTTATTTAAATATTTTCACTGCTTAATGTATGCATTAAGCAGTGAAAATATTTAAATAACTTTAAAATATTTAAATAACTTAATTGATCAAACCCCTTAATAAATCATGTTATATCAAAATGTTTTACACACTTCTCGTACATTTTTTCTGATTCATAAGAAAGTCAAAGAACATAAGAAACTTTCATAACTTTCAGCGATTGCTACATAGTGAAATAAATTGTTACCTCTAGAAAGTATGCTTCCTAGCGGTAATAATTTGGTGATTGTTATCTCTTACTCGTAAATCTTTGTAGTACTTTTTTAAGAGCGTACAATTTCATACGTTTTGCGTACATTTTTTTGATGAAGTCTGAATTTCGTACCATGCCATGTCACCGCTAGAAATCATGACAACAAAATGGGTTAAGCAGACATTTATAGAAATTAAGGAGCTTACAAAAACCACATCAATCATCCGAATCTAGTAAGACTACACGGTACACAATTCCGAAGGCGAATAGAATTTCAACTTTACAATTTAGTGTAACGGCGCATCTACTGAATAGGACGTATACACACTTTGCGACATAAAACGCAATGGAATCGCAAGTTTCAACTGCTTCAATTTATGTGCCATATCAGACAGCTGTCCCGTCTCCATTGAGACCATATCATACCCGTAGAGTTACATTGACGCAACTGCAAAAAATTAAAAAACCGACTTGAACTGAAAAAAACATTTAGGGTTCGTATCCGTATTCGTCGACCTAGACGCTTAATCCATATTCGTATCCGCATCTGCAGATACGCATTTGAAAAGATCCGGCACATCACTACAGTACTAGATCTGTGATTATTTCCACTTATTTAATATTCTAAATCTTGTTAAAAAACACTATTTTTTATTTGCACAATTTGGTAAAACCTAAGTATTCTTCATTTTTTTTTATTCTACCTTAATTTTACGCATGACGGACGCGCTTAAAAATATAACTTTGATACAAGTTCTGTACATAAATCTGCCATATAGATTTAAATTATATCCTTTTATATTTAATTCTTTTACATTTATAAAATGCTTTAATTTTTTTCTAGGTTCAAATATATATTTAAGAAGTATTCAAATTTATTTAATATAAATTGGTCATATAGTTGATGCCGTATAACATCGATTTGATAAGCCTAAGCATTGAACTCTGTTCACTTCGTTAGGAACAAACTTTATGATAGCATCAGGACTCACCCTATTCATCATTCGACAGTTTCTACAACGAATCAAAGTGATCAATCCGTAGATTAAGCATATCCAATCCGTAGCAATCCGTAGTCCTTTAACATAAGGCTAATTATATTTGTATGTATCTTATTATTTTAGTACTAGTCCAATATGTAAATGTCCAAATTATACTAAGAAGTATTAAAATTCAATGCAAAAATGATAATGTAAATTGACAAAATAGTTAATTCTACTCAATTGACTACCGCTTGAATTTTTATAGGCTGGCACCATAAAAGCCTACCACCACATCATATCTAAAATATTTAATTCTATTTGAAAATATGATACCCTAAATACGATATTTTCTAGTAATAACTAGTACTAAAATATTAAATAACAAATGTTTAACCTTGTGTACGTAATGACCCTCTTAGACTATAATAATGTTTCTTTAATACAGCGGCTAACTAGTCATCGAAGTAACCATCGAAAACACTTATTTCATTGGCCTTTTCGGTGTATTATAGCATTAAAAAAAAAAAAAAAAAAAAAAAAAAAAAAAAAAAAAAATATATTATCATTATTTAAAGTAAATTAATTATTCGTATCGTATTCTGCAGTATATTCGTAAATAGTGGTATTAGGTTCTCAGGAACGCGCAAATTACTTTGTTTTATAATAACTTAACTAAATAACGCTTTACATTTTTTACATTTCTCCCAGACTTTGAAACTGTTGGATCTGGTGAGAATAAGAACATGGTTGTGTGATACGTAACGTTACGTGTCTGGGCATAGAGTCAACGATTTACGTTAATGTTAATTTTTATTTTTATAAAAAGTATTTTTTAGAGTTATTATATCGTTAATCGTAGTATCACAAGAGTGATCCACGTGAAAGGTATTATTAAAAAAATATTTAACCCTTACACTTCGATTAAAAATCGTTTTAGGCTGATACACTCAGTATTGTCAGTAGGTGTTATTGATATTTATGTAAATAATTGCAACATTAAGAGACAGACATTATTTATCTTAAAACAAACTGGCATTTTTCTCGCTTAGTAAGATAGATGGATGTTAAAACTTTGGTTTGTAATAGTTCAATAAGTAGCACCACTTTATTCCTTAAAGCTCCGTAGGTGTATTACTTATACGTATCTCTGCATTTGTGATTTCTAAGTGTTAGTAGGAATGATTGCCTAAAATTTTCGAGCTTGTATTATATTGTGACATATTCAATAAATGTTCGTATCCAATAAGCAGAGGTATCACTTCTTGTACTCAATAAGATTCGTATGAAAAGCGACGTTAAGTATAAACAGTCAAAAGACATAATGTATGATCGGCGCCTGTGTCCTTCCTAGTTTATCATGCAGTTGTAAAAACACATAGGTTGAAGTAGTTTACAATCCTGTACGATCACTACTCGTACACTCTAGCATCTGTTCGTGTGTAAACCATAGGTAACGGAAATCCATTAGATCTTATTATAAATTTGAACTAGCGTGTAATTTATGTGAACAATAACCAATATTAAAATACGAAGGCAACCTTTAGTGTAAGTACCTAACTGCGGAACCCCAAATGTATGTTCGATACTATTCGTCATTATGTTCCTCTTTTTTTAAATTTATAGTGTATTATTGTCATTGTAAGACAATATAAATAGTTTTGATCACGTTAACAGCAAGAAATTTTAAAGAGCACTTGTGGATTATTTTCTTCCATTCTTAATTGATTACTATCCGATAGATTCATTTATTAATGTCAATAGGAATGTGCAAATATTTCATATTTTTATTCTACTGAACGTTACGACTTCATGCTAAATTTAAGTTACTTACTTTAAAAAATACCTGTAAATCTATTAGGTTGTGAGGTTGTTCATGACATAAAATATTTTTAAATAGGATTAATTTTTGTCGAGCAGTAATACGATTGCTGTGACAGCGAAAAGTTAACTCGCGATATCAGATGACCGCCATGTATTTTACTTACACAGCTCTCTTTTATGAAACATCGAATTATATAGACAAAGAAACCGTGAGAGCATAGTCATTATAAAATCTTGATGTTAAACAACGACCTGGGGGCTATTAATGATTGGGCTAATAGGTTTGGTTTGACTGTGAACCCAGTGAAGAGTCAAGCCATAATCATAGGCAGTCAACGTATGATTGGAAGGTTAGACCAAGGTAAAATGCCACCGTCGAGGGCCTATTCCCGCAGCGGGCGGAGCACACACCCCCGTCGATGGCTGCATCAGCCGGAGACGACGGGGGTAGCGAGGTTGATGTTCCGCCCGTCAGGGAATCGGAGTTGGGGGCGGCTGTTCTACGGATTCGATCCAAGAACACCGCCCCCGGGCCGGACGGGGTTCCAGCCCGAGTGATGGCCCGAGCCCTCGACTACATGTCGGACCACCTCAGGGGGGTGTTGGACGCTAGCCTGGCGTCCGGACGCTTCCCTGAGCGCTGGAAATGCGGGAAGCTGGTCCTGCTGCAGAAGCCGGGACGGCCTGCCGAATCGGTCGCGGCCTATAGGCCTATCGTGTTGCTGGACGAGGCGGGCAAACTTTTTGAGAGGGTGCTCTCTGCCCGGATCGTCCGGCACCTTTGCGAAGTTGGCCCCGATCTGTCGGACGCCCAATTCGGTTTCCGAGAGGGGCGTTCGACGATCGATGCCGTAATGTGCCTTAGGGCCGTGACCGAGGAGGCAGTGAGCTGCGGCGGAGTGGTGTTGGCGGTGTCCTTGGACATCGCCAACGCCTTCAATAGTCTGCCATTCAGCTGCATCAGGGAAGCGCTCCGCTACCACGGAGTGCCGGAGTACCTGAGGCGGCTGGTGGCAGATTATCTTGAGGAGCGAACCGTCATGTACGAGGACCGAGATGGCGTCTTGAGACGCAGGGCCATGTCGTGCGGTGTTCCGCAGGGGTCTGTCCTAGGACCACTCCTGTGGAATATTGGATACGACTGGGCCCTACGAGGGCGTCTCCCCCCCGGGCTGGGTGTACTCTGCTACGCAGATGACACTTTAGTCACGGCCCGGGGGGGCTAACTTCCAGGAGGCGGCGCGCCTGGCCGCCACGGGAGTTTCCCTGGTGGTCGGGCGTATTGAGGCGTTGGGTTTGCGGGTGGCCCTGGATAAGACGGAGGCCCTATTATTTCATGGGCCCCGTCGTGGTCCACCCGCCGGCGCCTCAATCGAGGTCGGCTCGGTCCTCGTACCGGTCCGGGCCCAGATGAGGTATCTGGGTCTGGTCCTAGATGGTAGGTGGCTCTTCGACGAGCACTTCCGACAGCTTGGTCCGAAGCTGGTGGACACTGCCTCCGCCCTAGGGCGACTTTTGCCCAATTTGGGCGGGG